AGCAGAGGTTTGGCCAGCGTCTCATACACGGTCTGCTGGCAGGCAAAGTTGGAGTCACTGGCATCCACTGAGCAGAAAGAGAAGTCGTAGGTGAAGGAGTAGCTCTGTCTGGACTCTGGATGCTGGACCACAGTCTCCTGGCCATTCATGAAGATGACCTGTGAGGACTTCTCAGCTTTCTCCCTGGAATAGAGCCGAACACAAAACTTCAGAAATGTGTTGTTTGTCTTTCTTTAAACAAGTAGCATGCCAGTGTTTTATACACAGATTTCCCAGAACCACACTTTAATATACTGACAGGGGGGCCTGCTTCTCAGTCACCCAGCAGTTAAACACTAACCTGGCACTGAAGGGGCGGACACGCACAGCCACCGTAACAGCACTGTTTTCCATTTTAAGTAAGTCCTGCTGCTTCAGACCCTCACTGGTACTGGGCAGGATCTGTTCAGGAGGAGCAGGATCGGATGTTCTGACCTGGGTCACGTCTCGCTTTTGGTTCGAGGTCTTTGTCTTTATCACCTGCAGCGTCGTGTCAGGTCTTCGCACACCTGAGGTCGTCTTGCTGATCCGAGGAGCCGGGAAGGGTTTAGTGTTTTCGGCTTGCTGTGCTCGGGGTTTGGGCCTTTCCAGACTGGCAGATTTGACCAACACTGGCTTGGGAGCTTCTTTCCCTGCCAGTCTCTCAAACACGTCTCGTTTGGCAGCGATTCTCTCAAACGGGGTCTTTCTGGTCGGCGTTTTAAAGGTATGGGTGTCGTCTGTGTTTCTACTTGAAGATGAAGAAGAGGACGAGGTTTTGTTCTGCGCAAACCTCCCTTGTGTTTGCACATGAGTCGCAGTTTCTCTTAAGCTCATAGACCTAAATATACCAGGTGTCCTCCCGTTTGGTTCACCGAGAACTTTGGGAGTTGACTGCAGGCCACCAGGCTGTCCACGTCCGCTCTTGTCCATGGAGGGAGTCCTGGTCCTGCGCTGCAGAGTCAGTCTCTTCTCCGGAGCTGCTGTGGTGCTTTGGCTGCTGTCTGTCATCGTTTGTTCAGCCGTTTCGGCCCCGGTCTTCCTCCTTGACCGTCTTTGTAGGGTGAGCCGGGCTCGGTAAGGGGTCTGCTGCCCGCTGCCACTCTTTGACAGGGCAGAGACGACATACGTCCTGTTCACCGGACGGCTTTTATCTGATGACCTGCTGTCTTCACATACAGACTCCCCTGATGCGGTCACACTTTTGCCCAGAGTCGTGTCGGCTATCTTTCGCTCTCGGCAGGGTGTCCTGGACGTTGATGTTGACAGCAGATTGTCGTAATAAGCGGTGTGTTTCCGCGCTTGTACGCTAAATATCGACATGGCTGTGGACTGTTAGAAACCTAAACGGTGTAATTACGAGACAGGCGAGTTAACGGCAGATGCACTTTACACGAACAACTACATTTAAAAACCACGTAAATCGGACGTAAGTATGACTCCATATGTTAGTTAAAGGAAAATAAAAATCCATTCGAATAAATTATTACTTGCACTTGCGAAAAAAAAAAAAGTTCTTTTGTTTATGTTCTCCTGCTCGCTTCCGCCTCTACCCGCTTCAATTTCAAATCGTCCCCGTCACTGGCAGCTGATTGGCTGGATTCTCAGAAAGTGCTACGTCACGTCGTGGTCGCGACCTGTAGGCACTTTATGATACCGCTAGATGGCAGCACAATACCGAGCCACAATAAATAAACTGTGAACGATAGTCATCTCTGAGATTGCGTACCAGTGGAAAAAATGTGCTAGTCATAAGGTCCCATCTAAATTTAGTCCTTTACCGTTAAAATAAACGAAATGTCTCAAACTCCCTAACATCTACTGCGGAAGACAGTGAGATATAAATAAAACCTCCAGAGAAACTTTGAGAAAAACTTACCTTTTAGTTGGAATAATATATGAGAATAAAATCAGACTGATTAAAGTTTGTACAAATGGCAGGGTGCGTTCAGTGCCTTGCTCAAAAGCATCTGGACCTTAGTTCAAGTCTGGATTAATGAGGATTCTTATTCTTCTTTCAGTGCCCCTTTCATACTCCTCTATCACCGTGTGCCACTAGTGCCAGTTCCAAGCCCGGTAAAAATGTGGAAGATTGTGTGGAGCTTTTTGATTAAGTCACTTTGGATTAATCATACAAAAAACAGATCTAAAAAAAAAAACAAAACAGATACAGAAAACACATGTATTTATTTATAAACAAAATATATAAACTAGACATTTACAGGTTACTCAATAAATAAGCACCATTCCATGAAAGATTGGAAGAAGTTGCTACTTCTTGCGACGGTCATGTTTCTTTATGATGTCCAGGAGGTTATTTGTGGTAACCAGTGAATCCTCGTGGTCCTTCTTGTTTCTCTGCTTTTCCCTCCTTTGCTGTTCGTGGAGGTGCGGTGAGTTTAAGAGCTGAGGGGGCAAAATGGAGCCAGTGGGTTTGACTCGATTCACCACCTCCAGGAACAGCCGTTTGTTGTTGTTGTTGAGAAGAGTGATGGCTGTTCCTCTGTGTCCCAGCCGACCTGCTCTTCCCACCTAGATGGGAAAAAAAGGTAATATTAGATTAGCTGTTGTAATTGAAAGGTTTTCCTAATGAAACTACATCAAAGTGATACTAAGCAGTGCTGACTAACCTGGTGGACATACTCATCCATTGTGTTTGGCATATCAAAGTTAACCACCAGTCTGACATTGACCAGGTCCAGCCCTCTGCCCAGAACACCTGTACTGATCACTACCTCAAAGTCACCATCAAGAAGACCCTGAAGAGAAAACCACAATTAGAAGTCTGTATGTACCACATACAGCAGACATTAATAATGAACTGCATTTACTGGCAAGCCTGTTTTTATTAGCATGTTGTTCCCATAATTATATTTTACACACAGCAGATAACAAAGCGAGGTGTCCATAAAATAATTCAGCATATTTAAGTATGATACAATCAGCCAGTAAAATTACATACTCTAAAAGTGGGACTCTGGGATTATAAATCATTTTGACTCCTTATAATTTAGATTTATTCTGGATTATTTCAGGCCTTGTCTAACTGTTTCAATAAAGTCACCTCTTTAGTCACCTGTTTACCTATAGAAGTTGTGAGTATTTAAGAACAAAAGCGCATAAATGGAAAAACAGTGTTTTTTTCCTGCATTGTGTCTCTTTGCATTGGACATGCAGACTAAAGCTGGATTCTTGGGGAAAGCCTCAGCTGTGGGTATCTGTCTGTGCTGTTGAAGATAAACACTTTAGGACACCAAACATGAAAGCATTGTTTGGTTTTTCTTCCCTGTGCATGTTTTCCCACTGGTCTCACCCGGAGGATGCGGTTGCGCTCCCACTGGCTCTTGTCAGAGTGGATTGCCACGGCAGTGAGGCCCGTCACCTTGGCGACTGCCTCGCAGAGCAGATCAGCGCCGAGTTTACTCTCTACAAACACTACCACTGGAGGCTGGTACAGCTTACCATCCTGAAAAATGACAAAATAATTGTATTTTTTTTTAACATTTTACATATTTTCTATACAAAAACACTGCCAAAAATGCTATACAACTAATACATTATGTGCCTGTAGAGGCATCTACATATCTGGATACGTTCCAGCACTCCAACAGGTAACTGTAACTTGACAAGACAGGAAGAAATGCATACTCCCAATCATACCTTCTTAATTTCACTGTTCTTTAGGAGAACAGTCTGTAATCTTGAGCCAACTATTATGCACTATGCTGTAAGACCTGCAATATATGAAGCAACTGCTTTGATTAGTTTTTGAGTCATGTCCACTCCAGATCGTTGGGTTTCTTGTCGTGTCTTGTCCAAATCCCAGTTTTGTACCTCTGCAATTCCACAATTCATTCACCGCTCGTGAGACAATAGCTTTACACTATGAGTTACCGAGTTATACGAAAAGAGTCTTATGTTACTCAAACTACGACCTAAGAGCACTTTTCTACTTCAAGTTACTTAAAGTCGACCATTTCTGTTTTATATAAACAGTGCAAACTATTGCTGGGATTCCTGGAGTGGTGCTGTGGCTCTGTGCCCACCCGTTTCCTTCAGATAGAGGCCAGAGTGTCCACAGTGGCTGTCTAAATATGGCAGAAGGGGAGGCTGGTTCTTTATTGGACTTTATAATATTCCCACCAACAATAGCCAGCTGTTAAAATACCAAGCTGGTATCAGTGCGTGTCAAGACTGAGCAGTAAATGAACTGTAACCTAAAACTGATCTAATGAAAAACTGTTTTTCTTCTAAAGTACTTTCTTTGAGGGCAATGACCAATTAGACCTTTTTTGAATTCAAAAACTAAAAATATCTACTGACCAGTAAAAGAAACCATACGCTGGCAGTGGAGGTGTGTCCAGAAATACTCCAGTTATAATAAACCTTTTAAGACTTCATGATTTTTAATCTAAAAACTCAAAGTTAAGATTGAAAAACATCTCATCTATGACCTACGTTGAGAATCTCAAACAGCTTCTTCTTTTTGGAAGGTTCCTCTACCCAAAGCAGGATCTGTCGGACGTTGGCGCACGGCTGGTTCTTCTCCCCAATAGTGATACGTACAGGGTCACGGACCAACCGGGCAGCCAGCTCCTCCGTCCCGGTGGGGATGGTGGCCGACGCCAGAAGAGTCTGATGTTCTTCTGGGACTTGCTCAAGAACCTCCAGAACCTGCTGCTGGAAGCCCATCTTCAACATAGTGTCCACCTACAGGATGCAGCACAACTTTCATGTTGCAGGACTCGAAAAAACTGATTTGAATGATTTCTACAGAATGCATAGATGAATACTTTCAAAAGCTGTCCTTATGTTGTCTCTTCTAAAAGACACAACTTTTACATTACTAATCCTTAAAGCTATATAAATTAAATTGAACTGAATTACTTTGTCTTAAAGTGCACAGTTTTTGTCAATTGTGAATTTCAATATGTTTGTCCTACCTCGTCAACCACCACAACATTCACTTTGTCAAGCTTCAGCTCTTTCTGCTTCAAGATTTCAATGAGCCGCCCAGGAGTAGCGATGACAATCTAAAGGAGATTGACAAAATGAACAAAACCATGGGACAAATGTACAGCCTCAAGCTTTGACTGCAGCAGGAGGAAATTATTGTTTAAGAAAAACAAAACAAAACAGAGACTGTACTTTGATGCTGCTCTTCAGGCGGTGGAGCTGTGGGGGAAGCGGCATGCCTCCAACCAGCAGGGCAGTTCTCATGTTGGGGAGTCCCATCACAAGCTCCTTGGCCTGTCTCTCTATCTGAATGGCCAACTCCCTGGTGGGGGTCAGGATCAAAGCCACAGGGCTGCCCACACCGTGTGCTGATTTCTGAAAGCAGAAGCAATGTTGCACACTGCATGTCACCAAGAGAGAATTTGTGAATTTTTAAATGTAAAATTGTTTGTGTCTTTTTGAGAATACATTTATTCAATTCGACTCTTTTATCTGCAGAGGTCACTGGCAGCAAAGGAGCAGCTTTTCTGCCAGATACTGGAGTCTAGTGTCTTCCTAAGGGGAAGCTCAGGAGGGCAAATGCTTAATACAAAAGCAGATTCAGTCCAGATTTACATAATTAGATCTGGGCTGTGGTGCTATTTATCCAGGCTGTAGAAATGTCTGCCTCCTCAAATATAATTTAACTTGATGGCATTTGCATGTGACATATTAGCTTCAATACTGTACCTCGAGTGCCCGCACGACCACTGGCAGCAGAAAGGCTACAGTCTTCCCCGATCCTGTGTCAGCGCTGGCAATCACATCCCTGCCTGTGAGGCCAACAGGGACCATCTGCATCTGGACTGGGGTAGGTGTGTCATACCCCGCCTTTTTCAGGTTACCACTTAATGTGGGAGGGAAGCTGCAGTGCTCAAATTCAACAACAGGTCTTGCGACATCTCTCCCCTGGGTTTCTATGCCCAGCTCCTGTTTAATTCGTTGCACTTGCTCCTCTGTTAGGCCTGATATGAACCGATCCTCCCCGTAGGAGTAGCCCGGTTCACTTTCAACCACCCTACCAGGGTCAGCTGCTGGCTGTTGACTTTGAACAGTCCTTTCATCTCTATTTTGGTCCTTTTGCATAAATGCATCTGCCCCAGTCCCCATGCCCATTTGCACCAAATGGCTGGCTTTGCATTCGAGACTGCAAACATCATTATCTGTAGCATCACAGATGTACTCTCCATAGCGACCACACATCACACAGACAGGTTCTCCTGGCCCAGGCCATCTCTGGTTCTTTTTAAATGATTTCACTGGTTCCTGTTCCTCCTCCTCCTCCTCCTCCTCCTCATCATCAACATCACCATCACTGTCATCTGAGAGGGAGCTGTGTCCATCTTCGGGTGCTAAGCTCTCTGCAGCTGCGTGTGTTGTCGCATCTCGTGTTTGGGTGTCTTCACATACTTCCTCGCTCTGAGCAGGTGTCTCGGAGCTACTTTTGCTATCCTCCTCTTGAACAACTTTGCTTTTCTTAACCACAACTTGAGCCGATCCCTCGGCAGGTCTCTTCACCTTCAAGGCTCGTGGCAGAAACATGTTTAAATACTACCTGTAACCACAACAAAGCAGATGTAAACGCTCAGTTACGCCAAAAGCTGCAAATAAATTGAGTATGAAGAACCTCCATAGCTCACTTTTTTTTAAAGGGCCAAATTGACTTTTTCCAAATGGAAGTTTTAAAAAACTCCTGCTGCGAAGAAACCAAGTTTTTGAGTATTTTGAAATTACACTTCTGAGCTACCATTTGGTTGTTACTTACAAAAACAACATTACCTCTTCGCGTCAAATCCTCCGACAGTCGCAAACAGTTCCCGACGCACACTGATGCCGCAACATTACTTCCTTTGCACGTTGGGAATTGTAGTTCGTGGAGCTGAGTCGCTTTCCCCCCCCCTGTTATTTACATCGTTGTCTTTAGCAAAATTTTATTTAAAACATGACGTTTTAAAAATGTGTATCTTTGTCCTATAATTTTTTTTAAAGTATACTGACCTGTTCTTATTCATTTCATTTTTTTTTTTTTAATTTGTCATATTTTACGTTAAGGGTGCGTTCAGGGTAACAGAGTATGAGTAAAAGTAATAAAAATGCAGCCCATTAAACAAATCCGGCTTGGACATTTTGCAGTGTAGCAAGTTAATGCCGTTTTACCGACTATATTGCGGTACAATATGTTTGTGGGCGGTTGATTCCAAAGAATTAAGATAAAAGTGTTAAAATTCCCAGTGGAGTTTGAAAGCACCGTTCACACATGCGCGTTGGACAACAAACGTGCAGAGCTAGAGAAAGCCTCAGTGCGGCAGGAAAACCGCATCACGGCACCGAATAGAGGACCGAATGCAAAACACACAGGTTATTCATACAATGACACATGGCCATGAAAGGAAGAAGCCGTCTGCTGCCAAACAACTCAAATAATGGAAATATTGTTGTTTTCATTCCAGTCGACGAGCATTTTTCCCTCCTCTCTGATTTCCAAGGAAACCTAGCTTGTTCAGACGGAGAGCCTTTCAACTGGTAGAAAACAGAATGGATGAAAAACACCAGGAGTAGCGACCTATTGTGTGAACGAGACCGAAAAAAACAAAACAAACCTAGCCCCAAGAGCATTTTATTACTGGAAGGACATACATATCTGTGAATAATCTGCGGAAAGACAGACCATCTCTTCAGTTTCCAGCTGTTTATAGTTTTCCACCAAATTCCAGTACTGGGATGCTTTCGCTTCGTAGGGTTTGAGGGAACAATCAAGGGGTGAAATATGGGTGAAGTTCAGGACGTCAGGGATGTTAAGAAGACGTTCGTTGCTCCTGCAATAAAGTCTTTTGAGCACTATGACTTCTCCCGAGCCAAAATGTGTTGCAGCCTCACATGGTTGGTGGCCAAAGCATACGGGACAGGTAGGTTCATCACCGCACCGACTGCAACAGTTAACCGGACGCAGCACGAGTCTGTTTATGATTTTAATGCTTTTCTTTTGATTGTTTGTTTTTAATGCATGCTTGTCAGAATCCAAATAAACCCAAAGCAACAAATGTGTAATGGAGATTTATGATTTATTATCAGTCAATTCCCATATGGGCTGGTTCACATGGAAACTGCCATCGTTTGCATTCATTTCTTATGAGGAAAGCAATACATGTTATACCAAACGAAAGAAAGGTAAAAAAAAAAAAACACTTCCTGTGGTCCCTAATCAATGGGGTGGGTGGGGGGGTATTTAATGGAGAATACTTATAGAGATATTAAAGTACCTGTTTCAAATGATGTCACCTCCAGGGTGCTGCATCCATGTCAGAGTAAGTATGGCATGACATCCTGTGACACCTAACGAAGTGGATGTAATCCCACAGTTTCAGTGGAATTAGTATTAAATACTTTAACTGATATAGGGGATGCATGGATGCATATCCAGCAATGCAGTGATAATAAAGTGTCAAATCAGTGTGATTATCTGCATTTGAGCATCTATTATAGAAAACTACAGCACAAACATCTGTTTTGGTGGAGTATCCACATCTTTTTTGGATGCACGAGGTAAAACGAACAACAGCGGGAAAAAGGTGTTTTTTCAATTTTATAAAAATGTGTCTTAATAAATGCAGTGCAAGATCCTTCTGTGCTATCCTTTTCCCATTTTATCAACTCGTTCATCTTTATCTCTTTTTTGTTGGTATTGTATTATATTCCTGAGTCATACACATCGTCTCAGTTTATTTGAGAGCATCATTCCTTGTTTCTGTGTTGCTTATATCTCAGCAAACATGAGATCCCTTGCTGATCCTCTTGTGTATTTTCAGTCAGAACTGAATGAAATGGGCTGATTCCAAAAATACAGCCCCCCAGAGAGGGAGGGGAAGGGAAAGAAAGAGAAAGGGAGCGAGATCATCTCCAGATCCCAGCCTACGCTGCTGTGAAAGCTTTACATGCATCCGCCTCATTAGATTGAGGCGAGAGTACATCAAGAATATGCAGTCGAGTACGTGCGAGATGTGAGCTGTACAGCAGATCATCTGCTGTCAGGAGTCGCTGTCAAATGCTATCCCCCAGCATTTACAGTGTCCTGATTCAGAACTCAGAACAGCAGCGCCATTTAATACCAGCTAAAAATGAGAGGCTGACAGACAATGAGTGTAATTCCCTCTGTATTCACTTAACAAAACGTATTTCCAGATGTCCTTGTTTAAAGTATTAAGTTTTAACAATGACTGAATGGAAGATTGTGAGTCTGCATGAGTAAAAGCTCAACTACTACCAAGCTAATGAAATATTAAAAGATAAAACCGACTTCTTCATGCTCAACGTTTTCTTTGTCCTTAAAATGATTAGGAGAATTACAGAATATAAACCAGGAACACAAAATGCTGAAAGATAACATTAAAAATCGTCTCCAGAGGTGGTGTTCCGTGAGCTCAGCCTGACCTCTGACCTCTCCCTGTGGATGATGAAGGCGGTGCGGGGAGTTAATATAAAGACATAGTGTATTTTTTGTTGTTTGTTAGGATCCTTAATATGAATATAGTGCTGACAGGAAACCCTGTAACCTGGATAGTTGCTACTTCTGCCTGCGATTCTGCTCTGTAATAACACTGTGTACAGATGACCTTGCTGATAGCGGTCAGTCAAAGCAGGTGATTCATTGACCCCCGTGTGCATGTGCTGGAGGATGGGCAGCATAAAGCTGTCAGTGTGTGGATCACCACTCGCACACACACACACAGGCTTTTATCCTAATTAAGATCCATTCTCCATGCCAAGGAGACAGGGACGAGCCCTGCGTCTGTTTTGCTTGCAGACATAATTTAATGTTTTCAAATAGTCTCATTTGAAAATGCTTAATCATGGCTTCCTTAATCTGCACCAGGGAAAGAAGGGTTTGCGGTAGCTTTACTAGCAACTGTGCATAACATACTTTATGTTCCCAGACATGGATTTGTGAAAACACTTGATAGAAAGGTGTGGGCCAGAATTGCTCAAATTATTTGTACGCTATCCCCCGTGCAGTGGACTTGCCTGAGGTAATGAACACACATGCACGCACGCTCACGTGCAGCCTCTCTCTTTGATGAGGCAGGCAGTGAGAAGGGTGTTCCCAGGGAGCTGGAAGCTGCAGAGATACACACTGGATGAATCGATCAGGTTACCGCTCATCCTGCAGTTGCTATAGCAACGACAAGGTCTATCCACACATATCCATGTGATGTTATTGTCAAAGCGTGGCAACGAAAACAAGTAGTTGTGCCAAAGTATTGCTAGACAATCTGTCCACAGAGGGAAAAATCCTCAGTGAAGACAGATTTAGAATAACACGGCCCAAACTTGATATTAGCTCATCAGAGTTTATCCTATTTTTTTTTAATCGTATTAGAAAATTTAAATGACTATTGATTAGAAAGGTAGAAAACTAATGCTCCAGAATGCTTTCAGCTTTTTTCCCTCTGTTTACATCAGCGCTTTTAATTATATACTTGTTTACCTTCTCTTATATCATCCTCAATGATGTGGCAAGGCAAGCAATTTAAAAACATGCTGATGTTTGCCAGCATTTTAATGTCTAATATGAATTGATTCATAAATTGTTATTTAAATGATTTGGCGCCATGTTGCTATTACGCTCTGCTTGTCAGCTGATTCTGCTTCCTCTGCTCTATCACGCAGACAGCATCCCAGCAGACTTGAAGGACCCTTTCTACACAGACCAGTATGAGCAGGAGCACCTGAAGCCTCCTGTGGCCAGCCTCCTGCTATCTGCAGACCTCTACTGCAGGGCTGGCAGCCTTATCCTAAAGAGTGACGCTGCCAAGCCGCTGCTGGGTCACGATGCTGTCATCCAGGCGCTAGCTCAACGCGGTCTGTACGTCACCGACCAGGAGAGACTGGTGACTGAGAGAGACCTGCGAAAGAGGCCTCTGCAAATGGTAGGGGAGCTGTGTGAAAGCTGGTTAAACTGTACACAGTAAAGATTCTTTCTTATGTGCGTGAAGTTAGTAATGTATTAGGCGTGCACCCAGCTGTTGGTGGTAATACAGTGGTAGTAAACCTTTGCTTTGCTTTCTCAGTAACTCAGACATCTATAACGCATACAGTCTCCTTCCTCGTCCGATTATTTGATCTTGCTGTTGCTGAAACTTTACTTAAGCAGACATTCTGGTCTGTCGAGGTGCAGAAATGCATATTTTTACGCCTTCATGCACTCAAATACAAGATCACCCTGCAGCATTTTCTCTCCCAGCTACATAGTATATTCAAATTTCATGGTTTCCATAGAGTATGCTGTTCCTTTAGGATATTAGAGTAAATAAATGCATTTTACTTATTAGCTTGATCAAGTATAAGTTTAATATTGTTTACTAAGGTACTAAATGTATCCCCTTATTTAAACTTTTGTGCAAACCTTTATTGCTTACTGATCAGGACATTTTTTTCCTCCCATTATTTGTAAAACATATTTCTCTATGGTAATTCAGGTAAACATGACAAACCACA